CAGAGAAACTAAAAGAAAATAACTTTTACAAATTATTATATGGGTAATTTATGAAGGTTTTTTTGTATATAAAAATGGTTATGAATTTTTCTCAAAGTTCTTTAGCAGTTTTGGTTATGTGTTAGTGTATTTAGATGTATGTAATCCGAAGTTCTATATTATAATCATCACATCTTTTTAGATGTATTCCCATTACATATCACCAAATTCTGTCAATATCATGTAGCATTTATGAGGAAAATAATACATAGAGGGATCCAAAGTTAGTAGTAGAAAAACACAAAATGATTATGTCCAAAAGCCATTCTTAATCCAAGGAGAAAAGTTAGGGACTATTGGGTTGATAAGGCCCATTTGTCGCCTTGTGATTGGACTCAAATCTTTGATCCATCACCACTCCTTCATTATAATCTTCTAGTCCTGGGCCAAGAAACAATATAATGAATAAATAATTAAATAATTGAGACCCATTACAATAAAAGATAAATGTGAGCCATAGTTGATGCTTCCACATTTTGAACTTGGAATTGAAGGTTATAATTTAGGAAAAAAAAAATTTTGACTAGGTCCAGGGAAAAATTATGCCTTTTTACTAATCTTATTTTCTGTATGTAACAATTGAGGCAATTAAATTTGTATTGAATAAGCCCTTGAATTAGGTCATGCAACCAAATAATTTTAGTTTTCCCTTCTTTTTTGAGAATCTTAATTTGATTGACTTTAATTTCATATAACCTGCTAAGCCATGTAAAGCAACCTTTTTTTTTTTTTAATTGAGTTGAGTTGATGTGATTACTATAAAGAGTATTTCAACCCTAGTCACATGCTTTGAACATAAACTAGAGTGCAAGTCACATGCTTTGAACATAATTGAGTATTTAAATTGGATCACTAATACTTGTTACCTATTTTTTATACTTACAAAGGTTGTTTTTTTTTTAATCTCTTTTTAATGGTAAAAGGAAGGAGAGGATGCCTTTTTTTTTTCTTACTCATTAAATCATTTATTAATTTTCAGAGAATACTTGTAAACTTAAAATATATAAATTTATATTTATATTTACTTCATCTTAGAGAAATATAAGTGATATTATTGGAATGAGAGAAATAGTATTAATGTACAATCCACACTACATGTGCATATGTTTTGAATCTTTAATTCTTCGTAACACAAGCATGCTTTGTTTTAGGGTTGTCTTGAACTTTTGATGCTCCAAACATATCATCACTACAATGAAAAAGGGGTAGTTGATTAGGCAATATCAAGGGAAGAGGACATTGATTTTGGACAAGCTATGCAATTTTGGGATTTGGATGAGATTGATTTCATGTCGAGTACAAAGACAATTGGGTAGTAGCAAAAATTATGAATGATTGTGTTTTCTTTGTAGAAGAGTATTCTAAGATGGGGTATGTGACCATGATGATTAAAGTGTGGGTGGGACCACTACCGTATCATTATAGGGTCTTGCAGGTCCTATATTTTGTAGGATTGTGGACTTAATTTCACCTTATGATGAAAATTTATGCAAAGAATTGTGAGAGAGAATTAGTAAACAAATTTGTGTAATAGAGAGAGAACATGACCAACCAATATTAGCAATAAGAATGGCATCAAGTTGCATAAATGTGAGGAGTCAACAATAACAAAATGAGATGGGAAAAAAATGAAATATAAAAGAACATTAAAGAGTTTGTTTACGAATTTATGAGTTAAGATTTAATGTATAGTTTGTTTTGTGAGAATATTATTTTTAGTAAAATTAATGAGTTAATTATATCTCATTAAGATTAAGATGTGTGTTGGGCATGAAAACAAGATAGGATGCACTTCACTCTTGTATAGTAGGGCATGAAAACTTTGTGGTTTGGTACAATGGACTTGTCCTTTTGCAACCTAATCATTCATTTTCTCAAAATAATGAGTTGTAAAATGTTAACAAATTTAAAAAGCAAAAGTTTGGAACATTTTGTTTTTAACTTTTGTATTTGTGGAGAAAAGAGCCGCACCTAGGAAGGGAGGATGCACCTCCATTTTTGGGGTTAGCCAAAGCCCCAAAGTTTCATTTAATTTGGTACCTTTGCCACCATTATACTTCTTACCAACTCCAAGTTAAGATGCAAACCATATTAATATTATTTTTGTTCTGCAATTTCATAAATGAATATAAACAATTTTAGTTTTGAAAATGTAAAAATTAAATACTAAAATAAGAAATTAAGGATGATAAAATAAGTCAAGTGCATCCTATCCCGACATGTTCTTCTTCTAATATATAAAAAACGGGATGAACATGTTGATCCATTATAGTCAGAAAATGTTACAAATCCTAGTCTGCGTCATCAACGGATGAACATATATAAAAAAAAATTATATGTTTTTAAAAAATATATATATTTAATTATAAAATAAATTTTAAATTTTTATTTATTAATTAATATTTTTATTAGATAAATTAAAAAAATATTATATTTATATGTTAAAATAACTAATTATAATCAATAATTTAAATTTATTAATTAAATTTTATAATATTAAATCATAATATTATAATATATTTATATATTTTAATAATAAAACATAAAAAATATAATATTTTTAGTTATAGTTATTTTTATGTTTATTTTAATATATAAATATTTTTTAAAGCATATTAGTGACTTAGTCAACCCTACTCCATCCTTGACCAGGTCAAAATGAATTGTCGGATTAAAACTATCCATTTATTCCATATTTTTTAGGTGGATGGACAAGTCCGATTGAACTTAACCTGTTTTACCATTTAGAAGAAATTTCTTTTAACATATATTCCTACTATTAGACATAAATATAATATGAGCGGAGAAAAATTAGACATGAAAATATATGTTAGTAATATGTATTATATGGTATTATTTATTTATTTTGTCACAAGAAAAAAATTAGAAACTAATTTATTAAAATGAAAAATTAGTCACTAATTAAATTATAAATTAGTTTAGGATTTTTTAGTAAATAGTTAAAACATTAGTAACTAATATTAGAGACCAATTTAGATTTTGATTAAAAACCAATTTAGTTACCATTATATAGAAATAAATTTAGTGGAATTATATATAATAACTGTATTATATAAAAATCAATTATGTATTATATAAAAATCAATTAAGGAACATATTATATAAAAACCAAATCAATTATCATATTATATTGAAACTAATTTAGTGATAATATTATATAAAAAAATAGTTTGATTACCGAATATATAAAGACTAAAAAGTTTATTAATTATCTTTAAATAATGAATACCCATAATAAAAATATTTACCTATTTTACCTATTTTAATCTTTATTGACCTATTTTAATCTTTCATATTTTAAACTAGTAAATAACATAAACAATTAATATACTAAAATCAATTAAAAAAAATTATGTTCAACCGCTATAATTCTTCAAGCATGATGAAATCTGTATTAAATACTTATAGTGTAATTATCGACAAAAAATAAAAAAGAAGCAAATATGTATGATGAAATAAAAGTCAAAAGGTGACAACGACAAAATTTATTTCAATAATTCCTTTTTAATATCTGGAGTTTCATTTTCTTCCATAAAAATCTTTATAAATTATATTTTTTCGATTATATAAACATGCTTACAAAGAAATATATGCAATAATTAGAATAAAAGAGACGCAACATGATGAAATAAAAAAGGTAATTTATTGATTCAAAAGGTTATTATTATACAATACAGTCATTAGATTCATTTAATTGTGTTTAAAATAATATTTTTTTATTTCGTTGCAACTACTAAGTATTTAAGTATTGACAAAAAAACTGTCTCTCAATACATAAATATTTTTTTATAATCATTAACTACCAAAAATATAATCTCTATTTATATTATAAAATTTTATTAATAGTAAAGATTACATTAAAACAAATAATATTTTATCAATATGTAAACTAGTCTCTGATTTAATTAATATAATGATTAAATATATTTTCTCTAAATTAACCCATATTTAATAAATTTTTATAATGTTTATACTATTTAGTATATTAAAAGATAATACTATAATTTGTTTAATTTATTATGTTGGAAGTTTATCTTAATACTAATTCATGTAAATTTAGAAAAAAAAAGTATTTGAGAATTACAAATAGCATCATTAATTATAACCAGTGATAAAATTACATGAAAATAAAAGTATTAAGAAGTAAAAATAGCATTATTTAAACAATGACAAATGACATGAAAAAAATGATAGCAAAATGTTTCCTTCATCAATAATGTGAAGGAAAGAGATAATATTCTTTAAATTAAGGAAACTATAGAAACAAATTACTTGAATAAAAATATATTATTTTTATGTTTATACAGTTGGATCCATGTTCATGTAAAGTTCAATTGCAGCTAAATACGTTACACCTCTGTGAAAGTACTTGTACTTTGTTAAAATAAAATTATGAATTTTTATGAGAGTTCTTACATTTACCTGATTTTTATATTATCAAATTGGTGTAATTTTATATGTATTAGCAAAGTGTGTAAATTCTTAAAAAAATATGAAAGAACCAAATATTATTTCATGCAATGAAAAAGCTACGTACAATGTTATTTGAAAAAGAAAGCATTTTTAGCTTATCACGGAACATCAATCACCTTGTCACAAAAAGAGTAGACATTTGAAGGAACTAGGAACGTATGATGCAGTAGAATTATTGTAGGAGTTATATATATAGGTGTGTGTGCATGGAGATAGCGAAGATGGTTTTCGTGAGAAAGACTCAAAGAAGTGATTTGACGTTGATGAATGTTATTGTAATGGTGTTGGTGTTGATGATGATGATGATGATGGATGAGTTTACTTACTATAAAAAAAATCCTTCCTTTAATTTAACTATAACTTACCAAAATCAAAAGCAAAGCCGCATGCATGGCCCAGTTCCAACCCAACCAAGTCGAAAGTGACACTTTTTTTCATACTCAGAAGTACATTCCATTTCCATTCCCATGGCTCTCTTCCGAAGGTTCTTTTACCGGAAACCACCCGATCACCTCCTCGAGATCTCTGACAGACTCTATGGTCTCTCTCTCACATTGTGTTCCCTTTTCCTTACTTTACCTACCTACACCTTTTTCTTTTAACTATATATATTTCTACATTTTTTAACATTCTTTTTTTGTAATTTGAGTTCTTGGGAATTGAAGCATTACTTTTGTGATTGGTGGCTGAATTTAACCTCAGTTACTGAACTTTTTTCACCTGGGTTTATGGTACTGCAGTGGCACTGTGCACTTTTTCTGATTCTGTTTCTGGGCTTTGTGTTGCATTGGGTTTGATATATTCCATGTTGGTCTGTGTTTTTTAGGGTTGGGAGGGTGTTTGGGTTAGGGGCTTTTCAAGGTGTAACAAAAATGTGGAACGAGAGAGGGTTGGATTTGGAGTAACTGGAATAAAATAGTAGTCTTGGAAATGATTCATCAGTTGAAGAATGTTGGTTGGAAACCTAAAAAAGGAAGGTTGGTTTTGAGTGAGACTTGTATACTTGTCCTCAAGGTTTTATACTGTTGTTACAGTTACAGTTTTGTCAGAATTCCTGATATTGTGAAAAATTACATTGCTTGCTGTTACTGAGATTATAGTTGTGTCCGAAATCGTGTTTGGAGACCCTTTTTTAAAACATTGATTGTTGTTACTGAGATTATAGTTGTAGTTATGCCTGCCTTGCAATAACAGTTGTTTCTGTTTATTACCTTGTAGTAACGATGGTACTTGATAGGTTTAAAGTGCCTCCTCTGTTTACTCTACTGTATAGGCTTGGTCATATTCTTCTAAGCTTCTGTTTTACGAATTGGGTTGAGATACCATGTGCTTCTAGTGTCTGAATGAATTGCGTAGTCTTTAGGTACTTGTGTAATACTTGACTGTGTTTATGCAGTTTTTGATTGTTGCTTCTCCAAGAATGTGTTGGAGGAAGATGAGTACAAGGTTTATATCGGGGGGGTTGTGGCTCAGCTACAGGATCACTATCCGGAAGCATCTTTCATGGTGTTCAATTTCAGAGAAGGGGATAAGCGCAGTCGAATTTCAGACATAATGTCTCAGTATGAGATGACAGTTATGGAGTACCCTCGGCAATATGAGAGTTGTCCCCTTTTGCCTTTGGAGATGATTCACCACTTCCTTCGGTCAAGTGAGAGCTGGTTGTCTTTGGAGGGCCAACAAAACGTGCTTTTGATGCATTGTGAAAGGGGTGGTTGGCCTGTGCTTGCGTTTATGCTAGCTGGTCTTCTGTTGTACAGGAAACAGTACAATGGGGAACACAAGACTCTTGAAATGGTGTACAAGCAAGCACCTAGAGAACTTCTCCACCTTCTATCTCCTTTGAATCCACAACCTTCTCATTTGAGATATCTTCAGTACATCTCCAGGAGGCATTTGGGTTCTCAGTGGCCTCCATCAGAAACACCCTTATATTTGGATTGCATTATTCTTAGGGTCCTTCCATTGTTTGATGGTGGAAAAGGTTGCAGACCGGTTGTGCGTGTCTATGGTCCGGACCCTTCAAAACCTTCCAACAGAAGTTCTAAGCTTCTTTCCTCAACTTCAATGAGCCAAAATCATGTTCGCCACTACTTGCAGGTGACTTATCTTTAAAGTTGTGTTATTCATAGTGAGTTAATTAGATACAATATCTGTGCTATTCATAATTAACTGTGAATTGATTAGAGAGAATATCATCTTAAGAAGTTTTAACCACAGGCAGAATGTATGCTCGTGAAAATTGACATCCATTGTCATGTTCAAGGGGATGTGGTTCTTGAGTGCATGCATTTATGTGATGATCTTGTTCGTGAGGAGGTGATGTTTAGAGTCATGTTTCATACTGCGTTTGTACGGTCAAATATATTGATACTGAGCCGCGATGAAATTGATATTCAGTGGGATTCAAAGGATCAGTTCCCCAAGGACTTCAAATTTGAGGTAAGTTGTTGTTTTTCGTATATGTCAATTGTTTTCAGAAGCCATAGGAGTTGAACACATAACTGTATGCATATCAGGTACTTTTTTTGGACGCTGATGCTGTTATACCTAATCTAACAACAGTCGATGGGAGTGACTCAGAATGTGCTTCACCTGAGGCTGAGGAATTCTATGAAGCAGAAGAGATCTTCAGCAATGTAATTGATGCACTGGAAGGTAAGGGAGATTACGATTTTTCAATGGTTCATGACAGTGAAGTAGATGATGGAAGTCATAAAGAGATCTGGAAAGAGTATTCGGACCCTCTTACTTTTCTGGATTCCATGTTAGATGATGGGATTCACCAACAGGTTGATGAAGTGAGGTACAAGCTTGACAAGAGGGTCGTTTCAGATACTCATGATGTCAAAGATATTGGTGTGGATTATGGAGTCACTTTTATGCCAAAGGAAGTCACTGTGGATGCACATGATAAGTTGGCAGTTTTGCAAAACAAGTATGATGAAGATAACAATGAAACAGAGGAAGGGCTGCAGGGGCTTGATATTTCACGACCAAAATCTGACAAATTACTTATTTCTGCTGAAAATAAACAACTTCCTTCAAACTCAAAGCCCAGGGGAGATTCAGTCGTTGCAAACCAAGAACCACATGGTTTTCAGGCAAATCAAGCAAAACCCAATGCAACAACTAGGTTGATTCCTTCTAATAAGGGTTCTTGTCAAGATTCCATGATTGTCTCATATCCACCATCAAGGAACAATAATTTATCACTTAAGGAGGAAACTAGTGATGCTAAAGGAGAATCTACTTCTGGTTCTGATGTTTCTGAAGCAATTGTTTTTATGGACACGATAAATGACCTGAAAAACTCTGATGGTGATAACTCAAAATCTTCAGACAGTGTAGCTGAAATAGGCTCAAACTCTCCACTATCATCATTTCTGTCAGTCCAAGGGATATCTCTTCAATTAACTACTCAAGCATCACAACAGAGCTATGATCCAATGTTACAACTTTATCTTCCTCCACCTCCTCCTCCACCTCCACTTCCAAATTTTGGGCAGAATAGAGGGAGCTTCATGACTCCTTCTACCCATTGGAAATCTGTTGGAAAAAATAATGGTGCTTTACCTCCTTCCCCTGCTCCTCCCATTGCAAATAGTGTAATTACATCAAAAGTTTCACTACCACCGCCACCTCCTCCTCCTCCTCCCCCTCCTATGCAATCTACAAATGGAGCTCCAGTCCCTCCTCCCTCAATGTCTCCAACAATGTTTAAAGCTCCACCTCCTGCACCCCCACCGCCACATCATCCTCCACCTCCTCCTTTAAGTACTGCTCCACCACCTCTTCCTCCTTCATTATCCAGAGCTTCACCTCCACCACCACCACCACCACCTATTCCTCCATCAAGTGGAGCTCCACCTCCACCACCACCTTCTTCAATGTCTAGAGCTCCACCTCTACCACCATCTTCTTCACTTTCTAGAGCTCCACCTCCCCCACCTCCACCAACTCGTGGACCACCACCACCTGCAATGCATGGAGGCACACCACCACCTCCAGGGGGACGAGGCCTACCTCCTACTGGAATGCGTGCTCCTGGTGCTCATTCTCCTTTTGGCCCTCTAGGTGGTGCTCCTTTTCCTTCACAAATTGGAACCGATACAAGAGGGAGAGGGCGTGGACTTGGACGTCCGACAGGGGCTGGTGCCATGGCAACTCGGAGATCCTCCTTAAAGCCTCTGCATTGGAGTAAGGTAACAAGGGCATTGCAAGGAAGTTTATGGGACGAATTACAAAGACGTGGAGAACTTCAAATGTAATTTGACTCGCCTAATAGTGAAAGATTTTGTTAATTCATTTCAATTCTCTTTAAGTATGCACTTGATTACTGCCTGTTCTCAATCCTTCATGTTTTAATGATTGGTTTTACATTCCATCTTAGAACGCAAGAGTTTGACGTTTCAGAGATAGAGAAGCTTTTTTCTGCAAATGTTCCAAAACCTGCTGATTCCGATGGTAAATCCGGTGGGCGGCGCAAATCTGTTGGATCCAAAACTGACAAAATTCACTTGGTATTCTCCTATATGAATATTCTTGAAATTTGACTTTTGAAATAAACCTTGGCTGAGGTTGTTTTTCCTTTATGAAGTGTAACTAATCATGATTTGTAATTGTACATTACAACAACGGTTTCTGATGTTCAAGGATTCACTATATTATAATTGGAATTTAGTTCCACTGTAGTAATTTTTTCATAAAGAAGTCGTTTTCATTGTGGTCTGACTTTGAGTCATTAGGTAATTGCTCCTTAACTGTGGAGGAAACAAATACATACTTTCCTACAGTTTTGTTATGTCAGGAAAAATATCAAACATACCTTGGTACATAAAGTATCAAGCATGGATGACTATCTTGGCAATTTTACTGTAATGTTATTGTTATTATCTCTTCCAGTTTCTGGAAATTAAAATTCAAATGCTGCAAAAGTGCAGTGTGCATTTGTTTGCCTGTTAAAGCATTTATTAAAAATCATTGATATGATGTTCATTTGATAATTTTTCCTAGTATCTTATCATTAAGTTATTCTATGATTAAATTGTAGATTGACCTAAGGAGGGCCAATAATACTGAAATTATGCTCACAAAGGTTAAGATGCCACTTCCTGATATGATGGTAAGTTGATAGTTTGAAATTTCTTAATTCATGCGAGCAATTTAAAGTATAATCATGCAAGCTAAGATTTTACATTAAAGCATATTATAATGAACAATGGTATTCTTTTTTCATGAAACATAACATTTAATTTTTTGAATGCAAGTTCAGCAAGACATTTGGTAGTTTTGTGGCATAAATTGATAAATGCTTCTTGTGTTATTGGTGATTAAAAAATGATGTCTCCCAAGCTCAAAGGAAAAGACTAGCAATGCCTTACGATACAGAATGCTGAACAATGAAGTAGCAAAAAAGAAAAAAATATCAGCCAAGTTTTGTAGAGATGAGAATCTTGTAGTGTATGAAAGGAGAGGACAAACAAGAAAAGATAAGATGATGACTGAATTTGCCAGAGATAAATTAGGAGCAGCACTTGTTAATAAGGAAAAGATTCTAGAATCTCACATAATAAGAGCCCAGTAAGAAGAGTGATTAAATGGATGATAACCCAATAATGAAAGCTATAGACAGAAAAACTTAGAGAAGTATTAAAAATACTTTGATATAAATGTAATTTTTGAAAACTTGGTCAAGAAAGAAACATTGATGTTTGATGTCTTTGAAGGTGACCTCACCCAATCGGAAAGTGAATTTATTGTTATAGTTGCATTTGAATTAAGAGGATTCTTAAAATATATTTTGATGTGTGTGTAGTTATTGGCCAATACTAACAGGTTTTTATAGTATATGTTCTTGGAAACAGTTTCTTGTCATATCATATACTACAAAAGTATCAAATTAAATGTCCCTGCTGTAACTTATTCAATTTACTGTCTAACATCACGAAATACATAATCAGGCTGCAGTACTGGCTATGGATGATTCAGTGTTAGATGTTGATCAGGTGGAAAATCTCATTAAATTTTGTCCAACCAAAGAGGAGATAGAGCTTTTAAAGGTGAAGCTTAACAAGTTTATCCGTGATTCTTACATCTTGTTTGAGAATTAAGGGTTCTCATTTCTAGCAATTTCTCTTACTATGAGTTACTACCTTTCATTGTAATTTTCTGACTCTAATTTTCATTTATCTTGGCTATGATTATACAGGGATACGCTGGTGACAAGGAGAATTTGGGGAAGTGTGAAAAGGTTTGTGAATGATTTCTTTTATCCTTAATATTATATAGTACTTGAGAAAAGTAAAATGTGAGCTACGAGAACTTATGCGGATTTCTATTTGGCTTATCCATAGCTGATACATGTGTTAGTGTCTTCAAGTTTGCATGAAGCTGATATACTTATCTTAAACAAAGGTTGCCGCAAAAATAGTCAATGGTATTGATGATGTTCTCCAGGGAAACTTTCCCAAACAGATATGAACGAACAAGAGTCTGAAATACAAAGAAAGAAAGAAAGAAAGAAAGAAGAGTACAATGTCACTAGGATTTCGTGAGCCTAGTCTCCCCCATTCAATACCCCTACTTTCATTCTATCTATTTATTAATTACATAGATTCTAAGCTACAGGCCCCGACCAATTGTATTATTGGCCTTCCTCCTACCATAGGTCTTCTTCATGAGAGGTCTATGACCAACAATACTCACCCCCAACAGTTTCACCTTTTAGTAAGTCTGTCCACTACCATTATAGCATCTTCCTTGTGCTTTTAGGGAGGCCTTCTCTAAAGTCCATGGAAACATCAGGCCAAACCTTAGTTGGTATGGGTAGTGGTTGGAGAAGACATGATGGGGATAATGTTTGATACTTATTTTGTTGATAGACTTCACAAGTAGCTACAAACTGTTGAATGTGCTTCCCCTTGCCTTCCTAATACACTAAGGCTGATATCCTTTTATAGGTTCTAAAAAATCCAGAGTGACCTCCTATTGAAGAATTGTGAAATTCCTTTAATAATAGAAATTTTTTTTGAGATCCCACTAATCTTCCTTTGTACATAACTTTCTATTCTGAAAAGAGAACCCAGGTGGGTAGTGAAAGTGAAACCTATTGTTAAGGTTCCAACATAAAACCAATTGGCAATATGTGGAGTAGCCTAACATGTATTTAAACCATACCAAATGATGAGGTAGGCGATGTGGGACTTTCAACACACCCTCTCCAACAAAGCCTGCCGGACCAGGCAAAGGGTACTTTTGACCCAACTAAAGGGCAACTTTTGGCCCATGACAATAACCGGAAAGATGTTAGGCTTTGACTCTGATACCATGTTAAGGTTCCAACATAAAACCAATTGGCAATATGTGGGTAGCCTAACATGTATTTATACCATACTAAATGATGAGGTAGGCGATGTGGGACTTTCAACACCTATCATCAAATCTTGGCTAGTAGTTTTCATTTACTAGCTGACTATGCTTCTTCTTCACGTTCTTCTAACTCTGAAAATTGAACTACTCACAAGGCTATAAGTCATTCTAACCATCTGCAGCCCTGTTTTCACACCCAGGTTTATACCAGATGCTGATTGGGATTTGTTTGGAAGTCGTTGCTTACATTAAAATTTAGAATTAAGGTGAAAAGCGAAGAAATTGAGTGGCCAAACTACCATAATAAGAGAAGCAGGTTTATTTTAAGGAAACAACTGATGGAAAGCGAATTGAAACTAAATAATTGCAGAACACAGCTCATAAATAGTCACCCATCCCAGTTGTTAGGTTTGTGACATTCTTTGGGTTATGGGTGCAAACCCTGTATTTTATCTTTTTCTTTAGTGTGTGACACCAAATAGTGGGCACGTTCCTCTCTTGTTAAGACTTGGATTATAAACAAAATTTTTTGGCCTTTGTTAATTCAAGAACCTGTGTATGCGTAATTATATTCTCATATACATTGGTTATGTTATGTTTCAGTATTTTTTGGAGCTGATGAAAGTGCCAAGAGTGGAGTCAAAATTTAGAGTATTCTCTTTCAAAATTCAGTTTGGAACCCAGGTTTGCTATTGTCCGTAATGTTTTTCTGAATTTGTTGTGGATTTGGTTTCTTCCGTATCTTATTTCACATTGCAGATTACAGAGTTTAAGAAGAGTTTACACACAGTGAACTCTGCTTGTGAAGAGGTACTTTTCATATGAGGCTAATAAACGTATGTTGCTTATATTTTTTTTAACCAAGTGCTTTTTATCATGCCAATAGGTTCGAAACTCATTCAAACTAAAGGAGATTATGAAGAAAATTCTTTATTTGGGTAATACATTGAATCAAGGGACAGCAAGGGGTATGTCTTGTTATTTTAGTAACAGAAATTTTTTTATTACCATCCTCTTCAGTTTAGGGGAAACGTATATGGTGTAATTCTCTCTTTATGTAAAATTAGATAATAATTGGTCCTTAAGATATTAGTAAATAATTATTTTTATACTGTTCTCATATAAAACATGAGTAAATGTTTCCACTTTGTACAGGATCTGCTGTTGGATTCAAGTTAGATAGCCTCTTAAAACTAACCGACACTCGTGCTTCAAACAGTAAAATGACACTCATGCACTTTCTTTGCAAGGTAAAAGTCTTACTTTCTTTAGATGAAGATATTATTTGGTGGTTTAACTTTCTGTTTTTTCTATTTGAATTCCAGGTCCTAGCTGAAAGATTTCCTGAACTCCTTGATTTTCACCTTGACCTTGTTAGCTTGGAAGCAGCCACTAAGGTAACGATTTAGTTTTTGGTTATTTATATTGAAAAGAACAAAGCTCTGCCTCAGTTTGTTACCCTGATTTATTGGTCCAATTTCACTTTTTCCCCCTAATTTGTAAAACACATTCCTTCCTGTTTCAATTACTTTTTGCAATGTACCCCTCCAAATCCAGATTAAGGTTTAACTTCTCATAATTTTAAATGCACACGAATAGCATGTGACTAATACGTGGGAAATGAGTCAATCCATTACGTAACTTGTTCAAGTTTCAATCGTGGTCAAAGCAACAGTAGGAGACAAAAATCATAACTTCTGCACTCATATGGCTTTTTTTATACTTTTCCTTCCTAACTTTCACATTGACTTTGCAAATGCAATGTTAAATCCAAAGTGCTTTACTTCAGACTGGGGGAAATATTGACCAAAATGGAAAAGTCCAAAATTAGTATCCTTCAACTTCGGCCCTTTGTATATCCACTGCAATTTAAATTTTCAATCTAATCCTTTTAAACTTTGTGAAGAAAACAGCCCCTCAAGCAAAAGTGTACAAATTTAGAAACTATAGATGAAATTGCAATTTCCCATAGTCATAAAATCAAGAAATTTTGCTCCGGAAGCACATCTGTTGAATCTAGATCAACCAAAATCCCTATTGAATGGGTACTCATTTTTAGTTCTATTGACTACTGATCAATAGAACTATTTGTTGAAAGTTTAAGCAGGTTGGTTGCTGAAAATTAAGACCTTGGAAGGCTATTAACACAAGGATATTTACACTTTTAAGGAAAAGAAAGTGATGTTGGTACTGGCTAACTGTCAGTACTAGTTAACATGATTACAATGCATAGTGATCATAAACTCATGATCTTGCAGATACAATTGAAGTCATTAGCAGAAGAAATGCAGGCAATCATCAGGGGATTAGAAAAGGTTAAACAGGAACTTGCTGCATCTGAAAATGATGGCCTTGTGTCTGAAGTTTTTCGTAAGGTGCTTAGTATTGATTCTTCATTATGTCATTTAAGGAGCACAATACAATGCAAAGAAACTTATGAATCTAAACTTAAATCATAATACTGGTTCCTGCATCATGAGGTAGTTTGACGGTGAAATTTTACTAATTTTAATAATCAGTTAATCAAGTTACAGTCAATCCCAGGGAATTTCTATATTTTCTGATAAATTTTGTTTCTTCACTGTATTTATTTGGTTGCAGTTTTGGTCTCTTTTGATTTATAAAGTTTATTATAAAGTGGCCAACACAATTCTTATTTAGAACCCATAGAAGTAAGGTTTAATCTAAAATAGAACTCCTCCGTTATCACCTCTTGATTAAAGGCTGATAATTATGGTTCCAAGAACCACTCAAATTGGCAAGTAACCCTTCAGAAATAAATAAATTTAGCAGCAATTCTCAGAAGCACAAAAGTTTTTTTTTTATTCTTCTTAATAATTTTTTCATTCAACTAGGTAAAGATTGGAGCTGATGTTGATCTTTTAGAAGACCTTGTAGGGTTATTTAGTGAGTTGGGCTGGACCATCGTGTCAAACTCTGGAGTTGTGAACTTCTTCTGACCTAACAGTTTCAATGCAATGAAGGCAATGCATCAGTGATTTAAGCGAAAGTAGAATACTACAAATAGTGTTCTACTCTATGAATTGGGAAACTTTTTCTCTGACATAACTTCATATAAAGTGATGATAAAATGAAAGAAAATACTTTAGGGAACATACCTTTATATACTTGTGCTCGGTTACTCTTCAGCAATTACTAAATTCATCTTCACATAAATTCTAAAATCTCTTTCTCTTCTCTCTCAATCTTAATATCTAGTGTGTATTTTCAATTCATTTGACACACTTCTTTATTTCAGACATCGAAGGAATTCATTGCTGTTGCAGAGTCAGAGGTGGCATCAGTAACAAACCTATATTCTGTGGTGGTAATATGCTTAACCATCCTTTGGTAGATTATATGTAACTTATAAAGTATAAGGGGACACAGATTTTGCGATTTACATGTGGACAGGGTAGAAATGCAGATGCACTTGCCCTATATTTTGGTGAGGATCCTGCCCGTTGTCCTTTTGAGCAAGGTTAGTTTAGCATTAATACATTATTCTTCCCGGTGGTAGGACAAAAAAGGAGAGGGTGAGAGAGGAGAGTTGATAAGGAAGGGAGGACTGACTGTAGTTTCATTATCTTGCATGTTAATCATTTGTTCCGGAAAAATAAAATTTTACAATGCTGAAGCTAACTTCTTATAGTTGCCTTTTTGTTTTTTGTTTGCAGTGACTGCAACTCTCTTGAATTTCACAAGGTTGTTTCTGAAAGCACATGAAGAGAATTGCAAACAAACGGAGTTAGAGAAAAAGAAAGCTGATAAAGAGGCTGAAATGGAGAAGGCTAAAGGCATTAACTTGATAAGGAAGACTGGAAAAGATGAAGAAGAAGAAAGTTGAGAGAAGGTCGAAGTGTAGAAGGCTAAGGGCATTTACTTGAGGAGAAAGAGGGCAAAGATTGTTGAAGACTGGGTTGTCTGCTCCTTTGCACCAACATCATTCTCAAGCCAGAGAGCAGAGAGCAGAGAGCTACCTGTGGGTAGTAAGAGGACTACTTCCGATATCGGTTAAGTAACCCACTTGTGAGATCTTGGTGTGACAATTAGCCTTTCAAGTGATCTAATAAAGTAAAGTGGAACATTCTTGCCATCTATGAACATTCAAAAGTCTTGGGTGAAGATCCATTGACGGCATGTTGAATCAGATTTTTGTTAATCATTCACAGAAGAATACTCTGAAAAGGCCAAATTTAGACCCAACATGGATGCTTCTCATGATCACTTGAGAATCATCTGCAGCCCGTGAATGCTATGATAATGGATCTGGTCCTTCGATTTGATGAGGAATTTTGAAGTAGACCATGCTTCTATTGCACTAGAGCTGGCTTTGGTTTTGATCATTTGGCATATTTGTCCATCACCAAAGCTTATGTCGTACGATGAAACTTTGTACAAAATTCGAACCCTCTTCTCTAGGACTCAGTTCTTCTCATGTAAAATAGAAAGTATTTTCCATACTTCCTTTTAATAAATATTTTAGTGGGACACCTCAAGATCATGTTGTTAGCTGTCAGGTTAAGAAAAGAATTAGAAATCAGGTCTCTGTACTGTAACTGTATCACAAGTGAAGAGAGGTTGAGAAGTGCAATACAAATGGTAGTGGAACACCTTTCAAGTTCACTCTGATAGTATAGCTATTTAATGGTCTTGCCTGGGAGGTACCTCATTGATAACATCAATATTTGCACCTGCTGAGAGACATTTTCTGTTTGTAACGCCATTTTGTCTCATTTGGTGTGATCATTCAGAATTGTTTACTTGAGTTATAGCACAATAAAAATTGCTAACAAACTAGAGGGTAGGATAGATTGAGTTCTAATCTCCCAATTAAGTAAAACTAACATTTTAACAATTAACATTTGCTGAGCCAGAACTGCTGCCAGAGTCACAAACCATTTTTGTCAGAGTCAAAGGTGCACAGATTTTATTGGTAGGAATGACTTCCACGCTTTAACGTCGCTGATATCTAATTGTGCATAGAAAGAAGAATGGTGGAAATGGTAAGTAATAACTTTTCTATCCTAGTTTACTTTGTTTGAGTAAGTAGTAGAGAATGACACGGAATCAAATGTATCGAAATATAATGGAATGGGGGTGTAACGCAGTGGAATTGAATAAAAATGTCCTTTACATTGTTTGAATATTTTATAATGGAACACAACCAAATTTTCATTCTATTATTTGGAAAAATGACTTCATGGAATTAGTTCTAACTTTTTTAATTCTCACATTCCAATCTATACAAACCAAAAAATGGAACAATTTCTGCTTCCACTCTGTCTCTCTCCATTCCACCCTCTCTAGAATAGCCAATCCAAACAGAGTCATGTTCCTCATGCCTCTCAAGGTTTGGCCCATTAGATGGATGACGGATCCTGATTTTGGCATAGAAAATTCCCCCAGCATTTGCATTTCCTCTGTTCTCAACTTTGTTGCCATGAACAACTGTGAACAAGTTGGAATTATCTGCAAGTGTGGTTTAAAAATACTAGATTCCAGTGGAACTTTGTAGAAGCAATTCAGCTTTTTCTGTAATTATAATTAGGTTCCATGGTTTGGTGTCCATATGTCATGCATGACTGGTCTGAGCTTGTTACCATTCAATGATCACATATCCAGGGCTCACAATATACTATTACCAACACCCTATCATTCATTGGTCAACACTGGGATGCTCTCATGTATACATTTTGAAAAATAATCTAGAGGCTTGAGCTAAAGTAAAATGAACATATTCTTCATGGGATCCACCACTCATGCAAATCCTTAACAGTTACACCATAATTTTCCTTTCATGGGATTCTGAACGTAATTATTCTGGAAACATCAACAATAAGAAGGTGTGTGTACCTTTAAGATGTGAGTATTCATATTCATCTATCAAACACGTTATAAAACGCAAGGAAATAAACAGGAGCCTTTGTATTATTCACAAGTAAAAGATTACCAATAAATATACAAGGTAGAGAGTTGGAATAAAAGGAAGACGTATTTTAACAACATAAAAGAAAGACATCAAAATAAAATGGTGATCAATCTTCAGCTTCTAGCTTTTGCACATAGCTGAGCTGAGGTTCCTCTGTTGTAAAACTTTATGTCTTGATAAGTTGCTCGATTGGTTCGAGTAACATGAATGTATTTTTCAAATGCACGCAAGATAGTATGAATAACTTGTAGCTCCTTCCCTTTTGTGAAGCATAAGAAGAAAAGCCTTGGCCAATTGATAACTGCAATATGCTACCGTACGTTACTTAAGGTAGTTCTTCAAAATTCTTTAATACCAAGTAACCACAGTTGTTCTCCTCTGGGAATTCAATCCTCAAAAAATGCTTTTCTTCCTGATCACACTTCAATCCCACCTTGCACCATTTGTAAAACATGCAGCTCACGATTGTGTCAATGATGATGAAAAGTGAGTACAAGTAAGCAATGAAAATACCCTCTAGAACCATAAAAGGCCATGATGGCATTCCACCATTGTGATAGGCTCTTACAACCCTGAACTGGAACAAGGCCTCAATGGCAGCAAGGCCTACATTGGCAGGCAGTGCCAGGAACAAAGCCATTGATGTCTTTCCCCTTAGCATAACACAGGCCTTCAGAATTGCCATGTACCCCCCATGTTTCTCCATGCTAGATAGAGTCAGTGCCATGTTGCAAATCACAAGGGCATTGGCAAGGATCACAGAAAAAAGAATTGCAGCTGCAGCTGACATCAAATGTGTGCTACTTGGTGTAGAGTATCCAAATCCTTCAGCAAAGGTGAAGGCCAAAAAGAGGAGGCAAAAGCAAGATGCATTTGCTGAGAGAATGAAGAAAGAATTGTAGAAATAGGTGAGGAGGAGAGGCCTGTAATTCAATATGATGGAAGTGAAGGAAGGTATCAAAGTTGGTTTGTGTTGATTTAGAGCTTGAATTATGGATGCTTTTGCAATGAGAAGAAACGTGAGAGTGAAAGGAAGGGTGAAGATTGAAGAAGTGATCGTTTGAGAAACCTTGAGGTTGAGAATGGTAAACAACTTTGATGAGGAAGGAAAGCCAGCAGCATCAAAGAGAGACCTTAGGTGACTGTGTATTTGAGGCAAGAGGGATGAAGAGGCTGGAACTAAAGCCTGTGATAGGAGTATTGATGCTGAGAAAGGAAGGGCTAGAAAAGCTACAGTTGAGGTGAAATAATGGTAGTTTTGAAGAAAACTGTAAATTGATCTTCTCAAAATTTTGCATGAAACCTCCATTGGAATTGATCTTTTCCTTGATCCTAGGAGAGGGAGAAGGTGATGATTGAGTGGCTTCTCAAATCTCACCAAAGTAGACCCTATAACACACAGGTGTGTGAGATGGTGGCTTTTGTTCCTTCTCTTCTCAGGTTTTCCTTTTGATTTTGCTCTTGATTTTTGGAAGGGTTGGTTGGACTGTTTAAAGGGTTGGTGTTTGGAAGGAACAGATAGGCCAACAAAAGTAAACTAACTCCTACCAAGGTGGAGTTGTTCAGGAATTTCAGACTTTGTCATTAGTTTTTCCTATAGATTTATATTTTTGACTCTTATTTGTGAAGTGCAAAACCCCACCAATAGCATCTTAAGAGGGCACAGAAGAGCCCCATTTCCATGGCGTGAGTGAGTTGATATATTAGCATTTAGCAATAAGTGATTTGGTATGACAGACTTTAAGTCTTTGTCTTGATTATGAAATGTCTCCTTACTTAAATTGCACATTATTCAATCAGTACCTTATAATTGATGCCTACAGTACCTTTTTGCAAGTCCAAGTAATGTATTTAAATCATTCCAAATTGAATTATTCAATTTTTGCCCCCTTATCTTTAAATTCAAGTGTCATTTTAAAATTTAAGTACAACTCAACACTTGATTGAAAAAATTAAAAATTATGCAAACTCAACACTTGAGCGCAAAAATAAAAGACAATGTTTAAAGCTTATGCAATAACATACTATTAACTAATTAAAAAAATCACTCTTTAAACCATGTTCTGAAAATAATAAAATAATTCTAATAATTAAATTATATATGAAATAACATTAGGAAGTGATAATTTTGTATCCCTCTTTAACACTTTTATTTCACGTGGTACAAGAAGTGAACGTGAATTGCAAGATATAATAACAAATAGAATAAAAAATTGTATCAAATAAGACAAATAAAATAAAAGGGTAAACAAAAATGGTTTCCCTTCTACTCCCATCAACAATTATTACTAAAAAAGAAAAAAGAAGCCACAAATCATGACCGTCAATTACATCAAATCACATACAGATGGACGGATGTGATGTGATAAGAGTTGTGGTAGAAGTTGAACCCTAATTCTTACGTGGAGGCATTGGTGACCAATGAGGAAAAAGCATGCTCATTTAATTCTTCATTTTTTGGTCAACTATCATTCAGTTGATTTGGTTAGGGATAAGGTCTTATCATAGTTTGATTTCAATTGATTTGGTTGGTTACAATGATAATAATAATTTCTAATTAGAGAAGTTTTATTAATATTTTAATTTTGGTGCCCTAATCCTTATTCCCTTGTTGATGTGGCAACACATTTGTGACATTCTAACTGAAATTGAATGCATTTAGGTGATTCAAGACAATGACCATTATAGAAGCTTTAGAGATCATCGTTCTCTTTTCTTCTGCATTTCACACAAAAGAGAAAACGTAAGAGGACAAAAATTCATATTTATATATATAAAAGTGTCGGTTCATATTGTTAACTATTTCATCATTCAAATTAATTTATTAAATATTATTTTAAAACTACCACAATGGGTTTCTTAATACATTAATAATTGGTTTTATTTTATGTCACCAATTACAACTATATTTAACAATAATGATAATTTATTACGAGATGGATTAACTTAACAAAAAAAAAAACAAGATAGTAACTTGATTTTTTGTTTTTATTATTTATTTTTCATAATCATTTTAAATTAAATTACTAAATAAGACTCTAAGTTTTACTCTTGAAATGAATTGATTCTTTCATAATTTATTATTATATTATTAAATACAATTGTCAACCTATTATATAAAATTAAATCAATTATAAAATTAGTTTTTAATTCAATAAATTTGGAGAAACACGTGGTAATGAAAACAAATCTTATTTTAAAATTAGTATTTTTTTTTCTATATACACATATATTACATAATCCTGAACGTCATTTTTCTTCTAAATTTAGTCTTACTTGAAAAGTCTATCCTAACTTCCTAAGATTCTAACAAAAATTTGATGTTGTTGTGAAAAAAAAACTTTTTTGGCAATGAAAGTGGGGATCACCTAACACGTAAAGTTATCTCTTTCTGCATTACAAGTTCAAACTTTGATAACTTTCCTCTTTTGTTTATGTCATTTTAGCATTCATTTTAATAGGGTTAGTATATCTATCTTCTTCTTTTTCTTTTTTTTTCTTCTTATACATATTTTCTTCTAAAAAGTGTTGTTGATTATATACATTAATGAGTATGGAAATCTGCACGTATAATAAAATGGGATGGAAATTCAATAAAAATTATCATGTTTAATGTTTGAAGTAGTATAAAATTTCAATTAATATTTATATTTTTTTTAAATTTTAGAAAACATATTATCAAACATAAGATAACAAAAGTTTAAGAGATTAACTCATGAACCCGTTTTAAATCGGTACGACTAATTGGTAGTTTTAATTTATATTTTATCTCATATAATAGGTTAAGATCGAACGAGACAAATAATTTTATTAATTTATCTATAAAAAAATATTTACATATTAAAATTTAAATAAAAAAATAACTAAAATATTATATATTTTTATATTATATTATTATTAAAATATTAATTAAACAAATTTAAATTATTTATTATAATTGAGTATTTTTAATATATAAATATAATAATTTTATAACTTCTCTAATAAAAATATTTATAAAATTAAGAATGCATTTTAAAAAAATATTATAAATAAATATTGACGGATACACTTTACAATATTTTTATACACATATGATTTATATAATTGAATTTAACAAATATTATTAAAGGAATAAATTTATCTTATAATATATTTTTATATTTAGATGTTCAATTTTAAAAAAGAAATAATTACATTAAAAAATGAAAAAAACTTTTATATTTTCATTTAATAAAAGATTATTATGTTTAATGTTTTTTTCACCATTTAAAATAACTATTTTTAATATATATTTATTTATTATATTTTTAAATAACTTAAAAATACATAAAAAAAAGTTAAATTCTTAGAAAATCACTGTCTTCATTAATTGAATTTGGTAGTGGTCTAATATCAAATAGCTAATTTATTATGCAAGTTAAATCAAATCTTAATTTGTAGTGCTCGAATGGACCAAGGCTTATAAATTTATAAATATTAGAATTTATATAAAATTTATATTTATAATTACATGTTTTGTAAACGTTGAACATATTCGACAAATATATTACATAAATAACGAACGAAATATAAATTTTGAAGGTTCGAGATTTGTGTATGATAAGAATTACATTGTCTTTAAAACTATCTTTTTCATTATTACTCTTCTCTCTCTTCTAATTATTTCTCAACAATTCTCTTAATATTATAATTGAAGAATAGTTCATGCAAAGGACATCATAGAGTGGATATTATAAAAAGAACCATTGCTTTTTATTGATTTTCTCTGTTTTATTTTTACAAAACCTTCAAAACAAGAAGTAAGATGAAAAATTTATAATTCAAAAGTTCAAACAATAAATTAGAAGAAACAAACCCTATTCTCAACAATACAAAAGAAATGTTGATAGTAATTTGACTTCAAATGCAATTATTTACAACTTTTAGAATAACACTAACATAATATAAAAGAAAAAAGATCATTAAAAATAAAAGTAAATGGCATACAAATACTTTTGTCCAAAAAAGAAAAATATAATTATTTGATGCTTAAAATTATTAAAAATAAATAAAATTAAATAGAAGTATTTTATCTATCAAGTTAACTTAAGAAGCAAGTTTTGTCTTGAAAAAGAAAAAGAAAGTTTGACTTTTGTCATTTACATATTACCCAAAAGAGTAAATCTCTAGTCGAAAGTAAAAGGGTTATTCTTGAATAAAGGATAACTACAAAAGACTTTTTAAATCTACATATTTTGGGTCAATGGATTTTACAATTGAAATTTTGCAAAATCACCAAACAATAAAGAGATATTAATTTGCTTTTGACTTCTTGATTTTACTAATACATTTCTCACATGTAATAACAATAGAAACTTTGGTTTCAAAACATTAGGTAATGGTTATTTATTTTCAATTAAAAATTAAGTTTTACATTTGTAATCGCTAATATAATCTTTTATTATATACATTATCGAGGTAAAATTTTAAATTTCTAAAATTTCAGTTCTAATAGTAAAAATAATACTTAAGATAGTATATTTATTTTCTTTAGATTACTTTCTTTTTTTAATCTTATATCTAAAAATATTAAAATAACATTGAAACCTACTTTTTAAAATCAACTTCATAATGTATTACATCCATTTATGTTTTAAAAAATATTACAATTTATGTATAAAAAAATATTACAATTTTTTTTACCAGGCTCATTGTCATTTCTTTCACTTTTCTTATAAATGATATTCATCTTTCTAGAAGAGAATGTCTCGATTTCATATCCGCTATGATAATATTGTTAGAATCAATTCCTATGTCTGAAGTATTGTAACTCTCGTCCGTCACAGTTTTATCCTTAAAAGACGTTTCAGTAGGTTAAAGAAAAAAATGTATATAAATTACCTTTAGTCTCAACTCCACGCGACGTGAGACTCATGAGCATACTGAAACAGAACTCCTTAGTCGAGGACTAAGGGATATGAGAGTAGAGCGAAACTCAACTCTTAATCCCTGATGGACGGGGCAATATTTTGTCTAGGAACGAGAGTGTTCTAACTTCGTACTCATTATGAGAACATCATTAAGGTTAATTCCTATATTTGAGGTATTATCAGCTTTGTAGTTCTTGTCTATCATGATTTTATCCTTAAAAGACACCTCAACAGGTTAAGGGAGGAAGTTGTATATAAATTACCTCTCTTGACCTATTGAGGTGCTTTTTAAGGACAAAATCGTAATGAACAAGAACTCTAAAATAGACAATACATTGAACATGATAATTGATTATAATGATGTTATCATAGCGGATATTAAACTAAAATACTCTCGTTACTAGATGGAAAAAATGTA